AGTCTGTTCATGCCTCGTCAAGTCTGTTCATGCCTCGTCAAGTCTGTTCATGCCTCGTCAAGTCTGTTCATGCCTCGTCAAGTCTGTTCATGCCTCGTCAAGTCTGTTCATGCCTCGTCAAGTCTGTTCATGCCTCGTCAAGTCTGTTCATGCCTCGTCAAGTCTGTTCATGCCTCGTCAAGTCTGTTCATGCCTCGTCAAGTCTGTTCATGCCTCGTCAAGTCTGTTCATGCCTCGTCAAGTCTGTTCATGCCTCGTCAAGTCTGTTCATGCCTCGTCAAGTCTGTTCATGCCTCGTCAAGTCTGTTCATGCCTCGTCAAGTCTGTTCATGCCTCGTCAAGTCTGTTCATGCCTCGTCAAGTCTGTTCATGCCTCGTCAAGTCTGTTCATGCCTCGTCAAGTCTGTTCATGCCTCGTCAAGTCTGTTCATGCCTCGTCAAGTCTGTTCATGCCTCGTCAAGTCTGTTCATGCCTCGTCAAGTCTGTTCATGCCTCGTCAAGTCTGTTCATGCCTCGTCAAGTCTGTTCATGCCTCGTCAAGTCTGTTCATGCCTCGTCAAGTCTGTTCATGCCTCGTCAAGTCTGTTCATGCCTCGTCAAGTCTGTTCATGCCTCGTCAAGTCTGTTCATGCCTCGTCAAGTCTGTTCATGCCTCGTCAAGTCTGTTCATGCCTCGTCAAGTCTGTTCATGCCTCGTCAAGTCTGTTCATGCCTCGTCAAGTCTGTTCATGCCTCGTCAAGTCTGTTCATGCCTCGTCAAGTCTGTTCATGCCTCGTCAAGTCTGTTCATGCCTCGTCAAGTCTGTTCATGCCTCGTCAAGTCTGTTCATGCCTCGTCAAGTCTGTTCATGCCTCGTCAAGTCTGTTCATGCCTCGTCAAGTCTGTTCATGCCTCGTCAAGTCTGTTCATGCCTCGTCAAGTCTGTTCATGCCTCGTCAAGTCTGTTCATGCCTCGTCAAGTCTGTTCATGCCTCGTCAAGTCTGTTCATGCCTCGTCAAGTCTGTTCATGCCTCGTCAAGTCTGTTCATGCCTCGTCAAGTCTGTTCATGCCTCGTCAAGTCTGTTCATGCCTCGTCAAGTCTGTTCATGCCTCGTCAAGTCTGTTCATGTCAAGTCAAGTCTCGGATTATTGTTTGGATGTTTGGATCACACTGTAAATAAACTGCACTTGGGTTCTTCACTACGCTCGCCTTCAGTGGACTGATTCATTACAGACAGTTTCGGTCTCATGTTGTTTGCTATTTTTCTATGTAAAAAGTTGCTGGATAACTATCATAAATTCTTCTTCTTGAACATGAGGGGATTTTTGGAGCCCAAAAGCATACTGTACACAGACTTTGAATGTCTGTGCATACTGTGCATGAGTGCATACTGTACACTACAGTACTTTGAAAATCCACTGTAAATATTACACCACCTGGGCGCCTTTGGCATATATTTCCTATGATTTGGGACACACTAATCTTACCCTTGTATTTTATTTAGGATGGATTGAATGTGGATTTGGATGCAGCCAGAGATCTGGTGTTCTTCTGGGAGCAGAAAGATTTCACAATGTGAGCGACACTGAGCTGCAGGTCTGCGTCACACTGCAGGTGTAAAGCTGTGAGCTTTGGGTTAGTACAGATAAGACTCATCCTTTGAGATTCCTGCCGTAATTCTGATCTGATCCGCATACTAACAGAGTCCAGTGGCTGGAAAGTCTGTGGTTGTCCTGGGAATCTCAGTGGTTCTTGCTGTGCTGCTGTACAGAAAGTACTAAAGATTACACAAACTAGACCCAGCCAAATCAACAGATACTCAGCATGAGTGTAGTGCATTACATTTCCATTTATTCATTTAACAAATGCTTTTATCCAAAGCGACTTACAAATGAGGAATATGACAGCCTAAAATCACATGTACCCTTTGTGAATCCAGTAAAAAAAACATACTGTATCTGTCTTTTTTTAATGTTCCAGTTTGACCTAATGCTTTTTAGGTTTAATAAATACACAAATAACAACTTAGACTATTAACAAATAACAAATTTCAATAGGCCTGCTATTTTCTATGTTTATATTAACATTATATTTATTAAAATCAAACATAAATCTTATCAACATAGTGTTTTCAGCATTTTTTTTTAAAACATTTATTCATTCTTAAAGGGGTCCTATTATGCTTTTTCACTTTTTCAACTTTAGTTAGTCTGTAATGTTGCTGTTTGAGCATAAAAAAGATCTGCAAAGTTACAAAGCTCAAAGTCCACTTCAAAAGGAGATGTTTTATTTAACAGAAATCACTTTTCAAAAACTACAACGAACGACTCGTTTGGACTACAACGCACATTTTCCGGGATTTGTGATATCACAAAGATCGACGAATGGGACGAGACCTGGTAATGAGTGTTATCACTATGTCAGAGACACGCTAGCTTTCCCAAGGCAGACGAACTTAGAGTGGTTACAATCATCCGGGTTTAAATCGCGCTCAAATTGAAAAGAGCATAACAGGACCCCTTTAATAATTATAAAAATGCAGCAACAGTGTATTTCAGATTTTATTTGAGAACTGATGATCAGCTATTCTTTTTAATCACTTTATCTTCGAATCACCATAGTCCTCAAATGCTCCATAAGTAATAATAAATGTGCCATAATGGTCTCAGGGTACGGCTTGTTTCCGTTGTGTTGTGCTAGTTTCGTTGTATTATGGCTTGTTTCCGTTGTGTTGTGATATTAGCACATCACGATGGAAACAAGCCACAACACAATGACATTAGCACAACACAATGGAAACAAGCCACAACACAACAAAATTAGCACATCACGGTGGAAACTTCATTTGATACAGGAACTATTCGAGCCGTTCATGCCAGTCTGGGGGGAGAGGTGTAATAATATAAAATATGTGAAAGATAATGTGTTTTTCGAACAACCTAGTATGAAAGCCTGTTCTAGATACACCCTCAAAACAAAATCAAGACTTTGTAAAAGAGCATAACAGGACCCCTTTAATAATTATAAAAATGCAGCAACAGTGTATTTCAGATTTTATTTGAGAACTGATGATCAGCTATTCTTTTTAATCACTTTATCTTCGTATAACCATAGTCCTCAAATGCTCCATAAGTAATAATAAATGTGCCATAATGGTCTCAGGGTACGGCTTGTTTCCGTTGTGTTGTGCTAGTTTCGTTGTATTATGGCTTGTTTCCGTTGTATTATGGCTTGTTTCCGTTG